GAGGAGCTCAGGAGGTGGTATGCCCAAGGTCGTGCAGACAGGAGGCCCCACAGCCACTGGGCCTGTCCCTAAAGTCAGGCATGGAGCCGAGTACCTGTCGAGGTCTCTTGGAGGAAGAATTTGGAATGGGTTGGAACGCAGCTGCTCTGGCTCTCTGTCCCTGTTTCCCCAAACTGTGTGGGGGCAGGGCTGTAGGCACCAGCAGCCTCAGGATGGGTGGGGGAGGGAGCCCAGCTCCCAGGGCTGGTCTCTCGGCCCCTGATTACTCACAGATCAAACCAGACACACGTGATCCAAACCAGCCTCCAGCTAGCTTTGGCAATAAGGAAATTGTTGCAAATAGTGTAGGGCCTTGTTTGGTTTTAGGCACAGATGGATTTAGGGGGTTTGTCTGTACCAGCCTGTCCCCTGCCGTCCTCCAGGAAGGGTCACCTGCTCAGTAGGCTCAGTTGCAGCCAGGTGGAAAAAGCACAGAACTGACTCTGTGGGTCCAGCTTGGTCACACACCATCCCCAGTAGCTGTGATGGGTCGGGTTGACCCTGGGGAAGGCCCAGATGCCCTAACTAGAGGAAGGGGTGTGGCTTGTGGAGAGGCAGGAGTGGTCTGGGTCCACCCACTTCAGCTGTGGGACCCCAGGCCTCCCGAGCTGGGGCACAGGCCATGGAAGATGAAGGTAGGGGGTCTGTGCATCAGAGCAGGGTCAGGCGGACAGTGCTCACTGAGACGTTGACCTTTAAGCCTTTAAGTTGGATGGCGTGATTGGTTAGGGGATCACAGGAGTAGTGTGGGCGGCCAGGATGACAGCCATAGCCCATGGGGCCGATGGACAGATGGAAACATACTCCCCACCCCCAGCAGCACCTTCGCCCCTGCCCGGTCAGGGGACTTCAACCGTCCCCATGGTGCAAACCTTCCCTGGGATAGTTCTGCAGAGGAGAGGTCCAGAGCTGGTGCTAAGACAGGCAGAAAAGGCTTCCCTGAGGAGGCAGCACTCAAGCAAGCCCTGAAGAATGAGCCAGGGCAGGGGGAGCGTGATGGGGTGAGGAGGAGGTGACACCCTCGGAAGGAGCCTTCGTGTTGGGCTCCTGCTTATTACTAGAATATGGGACCAATGGCAGTTTCCCCTCCTTTCAGTGCTGGTCCCCAGTGCAGGCTGCCACCCAGCATGTTGAGGGAAGGAGGGGTGAGGCAGACACAGGTGTCCCAGGCCTCTGTGCTGCCCCTCCTCTAACAGTGCCCACCCCAGAAGCCAGTGCTCCAGTCTGGGAGATACAGTGGTAGGAAGGTGGTGAGCGAAGTGAGACAAGGTGTGGTGCAGGAAACCAGCTTGCTTTTTTTGTTTGTTTGTTTTTCTTTTCTTTTTGGTGGTACTGGGTGGTTGAGCTTGCTAGGCAGGCACTCTGTCACTCAAGCCACCCCACCGGCCCTTTTTGCTTTAGTTATTCTCCTGATCCTCCTACCTGCACCTCCCACATAGCTAGGATTACAGATGTAATCCACATCTGGAGACTGGGCTGGCGTTGAACCTTAATCCTCTTGAGTAGCTGAGATTACAGGTATGAGTTACCATCCCTGGCCTCAGCTTTCATTATTGATTACCTGCTCTTAGCCAGGGATTGTCTATACCTTATAGACTTCATTTTGTGATGTAAGCACCATTTTGAAGGGAAATTGAGGCACAGGAAGGCAAAATGGCTTCTTTGAGTTTCACAGGTGGTATCCACTCTGCTCATAGTTCCTCTGCGTTCTGCTAAAAGCTGTTGACCTCCTGGTGTAAGGCAGCCCTTGCACGGTGGCGGCTAGCCCACTGGGTTGGGGCCGCCTGAGCAGAACCTCAGGTAGGCAAGACAGGTGGGATCGGGGAACACAAGCTTTTGTGATTTTTTTCGTCCCTTGAATGTGGGCTATGTGTGGCTGGTTTTCCTCATCCTGGGTGCTGTGTAAGTAAATGGTACAGCAGCAAACCAAGCTTATAACTGAGGGCCCACAGGCCTGCTCAGGGTCTGGGTTTTTGGTGGTAATTATATAACAAAATTTGCCATTTTAACTTTTTTTTTTTTTTTTTACAATACTGGGGTTTTGAAATCAGACTCTCCTACGTGCTAGGCAAGCACTTTACCACTTGGGCCACGACCCCTTGTTTGCTTTGGTTATTTTTCAGCTAGGGTCTCAAGTTTTTGTCAGGGACTGGCCTGGACCTCAATCCCCCTACCTATGGCTTCCCAAGCAGCTGGGATTATAGGCTTAAGCCACCACAGCCAGCTTGTTTGTTGAGATGGGGTCTTCATAACTTTTTGCCTGGACTGGCCTCAAACCTTGATCTTCCTGATCTCCACTTCCCAAATAGCTGGGATTAGAGGTCTTCACCATTTTTTTAAGTGTACAATCTGGAAACATTAAATGTATTCACATTCACCATTATTTCCACCACTTTTTTGTGACTTCAAACAGAAACTCTGCCCCCATAAAGCAATAACCCATTGCCCCTCCCTCCCAGGCCCTGTAACCTCCAGCGCACTTCCTGCCTCTGGATCCTGCATGTATGGGGAATCCATCGGCCTTTATCCTTTTGTGTCTGGCTTATCTCACTCAGCACGATATTCTTGAGGCTCGGCCACGCCACAGCTCATATCCAAGCTTCACTCACCTTTATGGCTGCACGATCTTCCATTGTACCAAAGACCACATTTTGCCTATCCACTGATTTCTTGGTCACTGTTTTGTTGTCGCGGTACAGGGTTTGAGCCACATCTGCAGCGCAGTCACCTATGTTTTTAAATCTGACATGGTACAGATTTCCAATTTCTTCTAAAAGCTTGGAATACATGGCCTCAGGAGTCTCATTACTGGACTGAACTGCCATCTGAGGACAGGGAGACCAGTGTCCCCCCGAAACCTGTTGTTCCCTGGCCAGGCAACACCAGTCCATAGCCCCAAGTTGAAGGCAGCTTCTGCCATCACAGTACATATGATGCGATGGGGCCAGCCCCAGCTTCTGACCTGGTGACCCCAAGCACGCCCTGCGCATCCCTAGTAGCTCCTGCTGTGTACACGCCCACCCCAGGGGACAGCTGGTCAGGGAGGCGGATAATGACAGGCCTAATGCCCCTGGTTGGGATGGTGCCCACTGAGGAGCGGCTCCTCTTTCCAGAGGCAGAATCTAGGGCTCTCTGGGGTCAAGCACGGCCTATGGCGGGTGGTGCTGGGGTGGGAGTGGCACCTGTGAGGTGGGCTTCTCACCAAGCTCAGCCAGTTAGCCAGGGCGAGTGTCCGTGCTTGTCCTCTAGCCCCAGCAGAGGACCACTGCCTCTCAGGTGTACAGGCCACTCAAGATGACCTTGGGCCAGTGAGGGGGACGTGGTCAGCAGTGCAGAGCTAAGTCTTGAAGGCTGACTGAAATGGGCCCAGCTGCAGGAACATGGCAGGCCTGAGGTAGGGGGGCTGTGGTCAGGAGGCTGGAGGCAGGCAGGAGTCTGCTCTCTGCTCAGCGGGCATCAGGTCACAGGAAGGGCATGGCACAGAGGAGCCCTGAGATGCTTAAGCCAGGGCTGTAAAAGGGTGGGTCCCTGTGTCAAGGAAGAGGGAGGGAGGAGTGGATGTGATTTGACAGCAAGGTTCATGGGTCCCCTAGGAGGAGATTGGGCCAGTACACAGTAGGCGCTCAATAAATATTGTTGGGTAATTTGTTCATTCCACAAATGTCTAGATTAGTCGCTGGAGATACTGTCAGAAGAAAACCAGACCCCTGTGGGAGGGGAAGGGAGAGAGGAGGGCGGCAGTGAGATAGATGGGAGGTGGCCAGGCCTGGGGTCTCTGCGGTGAATGGGGCAGAGCCCGCAGGAGGACAAGGGAGCCGTGGAGCCAGAGGCGCAGGAGTCTGCGCAGCCTGGCCCAGGGGACCTGCGGCAGGCGAGGGGGAGGGGTGCCACCGTGCCTCGCTTTTCCCATCCCCCTCTGCCCAGGGCCCAGGCTGCTTGATGGGCAGCCCGGTCCCGCCCCTGGGCAGCCGGGAGGCCAGCAATTGGTTGGGGCGCCAGAGCAGCTCGGTCGCCATGGGGACGTGCAGGAGGCGCGCGTGCCCAATGCCGGGCACCAGGGACTAAATCTTCATAATCTGCCTGGGAGAGTGGGGGTGGGGTCCGACGCGACCCTGGCCTGGGGGAAGGAGCGGCCTTTGACAAGGTCAGGGCTCCCTGGGCTGCCCCTCCCCCACCCACGGTGGGTACAGGTGCAGAACCGCCAGGGCACCTGGGCGCCTCCAGGAGCCCCGCGGTCACTCACCTGACAGTGACTGTGGGAGTTGGCAGTGCAGCTTCTGCCATCTCAGCTGATTAAGTGGGAGGCTGGGGCTGGTGGAAAGAGAGGACAGGGATTTTTCTGAAAATGTCTGGTCCCAGGAGTTCAAGTTTATCCTCCCAAGTCTAGCAGGCAATGCCTTGCTGTCCACAGCAGGGGGCACCCCACCTCCAGAAAGCAGGGAGGGCCCTCAGAGGTGCAAGGTCGCCTGGGCTTGGGCTGTAGGAGGCAAGAAGGCTTGGGTGACGGGGGAAGTGGACACACTCGTTATAGAACCATTCCTCCTTCCTTAGACAGGGGAAGGAGGAATTCCAGGGCATCCTGAGGGAAAAGGGGTAAAGCGGATGGAGCAGAGGAACAAGGGGTGTCCAGGAACCTACATCAGGCCACTTAAAACTGGGCCTCCCTTCGGACTGACTGTGGCAATGTGGGCTGGGGGGGAGTGGGTAGGGCCTCCACACCCTGCACAAGCCCCCACCATGGCCACCTGGTTCCTGATGGCCCCAACTACTCTAGCAGAGGAAGCAGGTCCTTGCCTCAGTCCAGTCTGTCAGCTTTGCCCCGGAGCCACTGGGGGAGAGAGCACCTCAAGGCTAACAGCACTGCTAGCGCGAGGGTCTGCTGAGGCCACGGTACCCAGCCAGGCCTGCTCAAGGGACAGTGGATGCAGGGATAGGCCTCACCCTCAGGCCTCTCCTTCCAGATGACTCCTCCTCTGAGAGTGGCAGTGGCAATGGCTCCTCCACCCTGAACCCATCCACGTCCAGCAGCACACAGGGCGACCCTGCCTTCCCAGAGATGAACGGCAACGGCACGGCAGCCCCCATGGACTTCACTGCCACTGCTGAGGATCAACCCATCAACCTGTGTGACAAGCTCCCGCCGGGGTCTGGGCTTGGCACACCCTCCTATGCCTCGGATGGCTGCGGCACTGACGGGCTACGGAGCCGTGTCAAGTACGGAGTGAAGAACACTCCTGAGGTGCGTGGGGCTGTGACAACAGGGATATTGTGAGGCCGGATGAAATCATACCTACTGGAGTTTAGCTGGAGTCAGCCCATGGGTGACATCAAGCCAGGGTGGTGGCCGCGACAGCATCATTTTCTGGGGAGGCTCAGGAATGGAAGACAGCTCAGTGTGTGCCAGAGCAAGGCCCCTGCTTCTGAGCCTGCTTCCCATCTGTGAAGTGGGATTGAGGGCTCCTGCCTTTGTGGCAGGTGACTTGTGTCTCTGTAGGGCCTGTCCCCTCACCCCTGAACAGTTTGCTGTAAAGAACAGCAGCAAGTGACACATTTAGCACAGCACTTCATGCTTCCTGGCCATTTTACAGCTGTCCCCATTTTACAGCTGGTGCCCAGGTATGTGGGCAGTAGAGCTCCTCCTTTGACCAGGCTGATGGGGGAAGAAGGGACAGGTAAGGAGGGTGCCCCCGCCTGGACCATCCCTGAGCCACTGAGGCTTCCTTGAATAGAACAGATGTTGCCAACTCTGCTGGAGCATCTTTTCCCACCTTACTGCCCTGGGCTCCAGCCACCTACCCTGGGCAGAGCCGATTCCTCTTCTGCAGAGGAGTGCGGTAGGTGCCAGGGCTAGCCTCAGACAGCGTCTCATGGAAAAGTTCAGTAGGGATGGTGTCAAGTTGTCACTAGGGGGCTAGCAAAGACTATGGGAACTTGCTAGGGGCAGGCAGAGCTGGCTCAGTGGCCTCTAACCAGTGCCGTTATGGCCACAGGTTACAGGGGTGGCCCTAGTGCTCATGCATCCGGATGAGATGGAAGTGTGAATGCCCCCAGCAGCCCTCTTACAGTTTTCTGTCTGCTGTGGCCCTGGCAGAAGATTTAGCTAAGGACTAGTGTGGAAATGTCACTTGCCCACGGTCACATAGCCAGCTGGTAGCTGGCACTGTACCCTGTGGGTCTTTTGACCCTGCGTTGTGATTCTGGGGGGCTGGGGTTCTGCCCCTTTCAAGTCTGGCCGTGGACGAAGAGATTGGCAGCAGTCTGAACCCAAGGAGGGCTGACCCCGTGGGCCTGGTCATGGGGAGAGGAGACGGGGCAGGATTCAGGGACCAGGGCACTGGACCATGAATATCTTCATGGACTTGTTTTTTTGTAAGCACTAGGGTCCCTCCAAGGCTGTACTGTGGCCACATCACCCTGCCCGACTATGCAGCTGCATGTTTCCTGGCTCAACTTAGGCTGTCCGTAGGTGCAAACCTTATCCAAATATTAACCAGGCCTGGCTCTGCTTAACTTCTGAGATCAGACAAGATCAGGTGCGTTCAGGGCAGTATGACCGTAGACCACAGGCACAAACTTTCTAAAAGACAGTGACAAGCCAGGTGTCAGTGGCTCACACCTGTAATCCTAGCTACTCAGGAGGCAGAGATCAGGAGGATCATGGTTTGAAGCCAGCCCGGGCAAATAGTTCATGACACCCTGTCTCGGAAAACCCTTCACAAAAATAGGGCTGGTGGAGTGGCTCAAGGTGAAGGCCCTGAGTTCAAACCCCAGTACCACCAAAAAAAAAAAAAGACAAGTGACAGTAGGGCTCTGAGGGTGGGGGCTGGAGAAAGGTTGTGTGGAGCTATGTGCCATGAGAGACAACCCATGTGAGGCAGAGAGGAAAGCAGGAGAGATGGGTGAGGGCCTCTGGTGGGAGTGGAGGGTTGTAGGACAGGCTGCGCCAAGCAGGCTGGGCTGGGTCCCTCCCTTTCTGCACACCTGTTCTCACAGGGTTCACAGTGTCTTCTTGAGGGGCAGATAGGAGAAGCCTGGGAGCCTCAGAAAGCACCCTGCCTTGCAGACCTGTCACCTTGGCTGGCTCCCTCTCCCAGCCCATCTCTTCCTCCTCCCTGACAGATAGCACATTCACTGCTCTGGTGACAGCTTGCTTGTCAACTCAGGGTTGCAGCTTCTTGATGGTCAGATCCTGGCACACAGAAGAGGCTGGCTGGTTGTGGGAATCCTTTTTTGTCTCTCACACAATGGGGCAGGTTGTGGTGTAAGCACCACCACAGAGGAAGCTGCTGCCACCCTTGGCCTGGTGCCTCCAGAGAGCAAGGCCTCTCTGCTTGTGCTACTGTAGTCAGGCTTCCAACAGTGGCCCAGAAAGGTCGCAGCCAGGGTTGTTGTCCCCATTTCCAGATGAAGGGAGCCAGGGGAGAGGGATAATGTGCTCAAGACCTTGCAGCTGTGGCCCTCGTGGCAACTGGGTGAGCTTACCACCCTGGTGTCCAAGCTCATCATGGTATTTAAGATACAAAGGGCTCCAGGCAGCCACCTAATCTGTTCCCCTGCCCCTTCCGCCCCTCTAGTCCCCGCCCTACAGCTCTGGGAGTTTTGATTCTATCAAGACCGAGGTCAGTGGCTGCCCCGAGGACCTAACAGTAGGCCGGGCCCCCACAGCGGATGATGATGACGACGACCACGATGACCACGAGGACAATGACAAGATGAATGACTCTGAGGGCATGGACCCGGAGCGACTCAAGGCCTTCAACGTGAGCACTTGTCAGGAGGGCCAGGAGGGACGGGGTCAGGTCCAAGGCAGGGCCAGCCCCTGCCACAACCTCTGTCTCCCACAGATGTTTGTGCGGCTCTTTGTGGATGAGAACCTCGACCGAATGGTGCCCATCTCCAAGCAGCCCAAGGAGAAGATCCAGGCCATCATCGAGTCCTGCAGCCGGCAGTTCCCCGAGTTCCAGGAGCGGGCCCGCAAGCGCATCCGCACATACCTCAAGTCCTGCCGTCGCATGAAGAAGAACGGCATGGAGATGGTGAGCCCCTCCTCCGAGCTATCCTCTCCCTCCGTGCCACCACTGCTTCCAGCCACGTTCCAGCCAGACACCTTACTCAGAACCTCCCAGTAGCCCTGTTTCACCTTGTCAATCAAGCAAGGTACTGGAGCCCACAAGCCCAGGCCCCACCCGCCCCAACACCAACTCCATGCCCATTCTGCCTGCAGACCAGACCCACACCTCCCCACCTGACCTCGGCCATGGCAGAAAACATCCTGGCAGCTGCCTGTGAGAGCGAGACGAGAAAAGCAGCCAAAAGGATGCGCCTGGAGATCTACCAGTCCTCACAGGTGCTTTCTCACAGCCAGCCACAGGGAGGGGTGGTTCCTGAGTATCAAGGTCAGGTCATTCCACAGACAGGCTTTGACCAGCTGTGATGGGGCTGGGAAGGAGGCTAGGAGGGGCATGTGCCGAGAAGTGAGTGGGGAAGGCTGCCTTGAAGGAAGTCTGGCCAGGCATGGTGGTGCAGGCCTGTAATCCCAGCACTCAGAAAGCTGAGGCAGAAGGATCATGAATTTGAGGCCAGCCTGGGCTGCATAGTGAGACCAGAGGCACTGAGAGAATCTTCAGTTGGATGGTGACAACCAAATATGTCTCAAAGAGATGAGCAGTCAGGGGTGATCCCTGGGACAAGGTGAAGAGCCTTGGGTCCCAGGAGGCCTGGGATTGCAGCCTTTGTCTATCTGGTGTCCAGGACAATGTTGGTTCCTCAGCACCACCCTCTCCCCCTTGCAGGACGAGCCCATAGCCCTGGACAAGCAGCACTCCCGGGACTCCGCAGCCATAACCCACTCCACCTACTCACTGCCAGCCTCCTCCTACTCCCAGGACCCTGTGTACGTCAATGGCGGCCTCAACTACAGCTACCGTGGCTATGGGGCCTTGAGCAGCAACCTGCAGCCCTCAGCTTCCCTCCAGACAGGAAATCACAGTAATGGTGAGTAGGGGCCAGGCTTTGGCTCCTCAAGCAGCTCACTGTCTGCACAGTGGCCCCAGAAGTGGGTAGGGCGGTGACCCCCATTTCACAGGCTTAGCCGGTCCTTAGATGGGATGGTCAGGAAACCCAGCTCCTTTCTCACCTCCAATGGTGCTAGGTCCTACACTTTGTCATTGCTGGCACCTCTCCCTGGTTCCACCCCCTGCAGGGCTCCCCCGTGAGCACCAAGTTCCAGCTCAGGCCCTGTTCTTTATCTGAGTTGGATCCTCTCCCTCCCCCCCCCATTTTACCCATGATGACTGAGACTCAGTGAGAAGGTCACAGAGTCAGATCTGGCCTAGGCTTGGCCTATTCAGCTGTGGCCCAGCTAGACTACCAAGTAGCTCAGGCAGGTACCTGTCTCTAGTCCTCAGCCTCTGCACTTAGAGATCCCCCATGTAAATCTCCTGGGTGAATGGTTAAGCAATGGGTCCCTGGGCTCCATGCTCTAAGCTGGGTAACTCAGTAGGTGCTTCCCAGGTAGCTTTGCTGCTGGTACGAAGCAAACTGCTATGGAGAAACAGCCACTGGAGAGAGCGAGCTGTTTCTCTGTTGTGGAGTAGGTGCTGCATATCATGGGTTCAGAGATGGACTCTATAACAGAGACAGCAGGGGAGAGCAATCAGGCCTGTGGATTTTGTTCTGTGCATGAACAACCCTTGACAGGTTTTCAGCACAGGGCTGTGATCGGTGCTCAGTCTGCATCCTTCTGCCTATCCTTGTAACAAGAACATTTCCATCGAGGGGGGCAAGAGGCAGTGTGCCCAGGGGCTGTTCAGGGGCCTGGGAGCAAAAGAGGAGTTAAGGCTACCAAGGTGCTGCTTAAGGTGGAGGAAGGGCTGGCAGGCTGGGGACATGTCTGCAGGAGACCCCTCACTGTCCCTGGGCAGCAAGGGAGAGGGCTAGTCCCTAGCTATAGCTGAAGGTTCACACCATATCCACCTATACCCCTGGCTCCAAGCTGTAGCCAGCATGGGTCCCCGTGTTCACTGTGCCCCAAAACGAGGAAGTACGTGCAGGTCCCTGGAAGATCCCTGCCTGGGCTTGGCTTCTCATCCTTCCTAATGCCTCTTAACCTAAAATAAGCTGGCCCTAATCCCCGAAGCCAGAGGGACTTGCACAGCCAGAGTGGAGCTACTTGCCCTCTAGGAAGAGGGTCCTGCAGCTTGCCACGTGGGCCTCTTGTTAGAGTGTTTGAAATGGGTCCCACGATTGGCAAGGTTAGAACCCTTTTCTTAAGTACACATGGAGAGACTAGGTCCAGCAGGAGCAATATGGACGACCTGGCACTCGGTCACTCCCAGGCAATGCATTATGGTGACACATTTCTACCTCATGCCACCCAGCATGGTCTGTCTAGAGGCTGCAGCTGCCAGGGCTCCTTGGCCTCCTTGTGAGGGTGCAGGGCCTGCTGCACTCCCATCCTGATCATACCTCCAGAGAAGCATGAACAAAGGCCAGTCCTGTTCTTAGGAGGCAGCTGGCCCTTACCTGTGCATCCCAGAGCCTCAGTTTCCCATTGCTGAACACCCTGTTTCCTTGGAGGGTGGTGGGGAGGTCACTGAGGCCAAGCTTGATGGTCATTTCCCTTTTTGCCTAGGGCAGCCCTTGTCCTGTGGGCCCTGGCAGCTCATTTGAAGAACCCTGTTTGAGTCTGGGTTGAGTCTGCAGCCGGAGGAAAAGGCCAAGCACCTGTGTGGTTGCAGAGCTGCCCAACCTACTGCCCTCCCTAGCTACAGCCTTTCAAATGACAGCTCAGTCAGTTTGATACCTCAGTTGGGCAGCTGCATTGATGGCTCAGAACCCCCTCACTTCGCTTATTATGTTGTCATCTGGAGATGCAAATCAGCTTAGATAGAATCAGACTCTGGCTGTCTTGCCTGGGGTGCTGGGCAGCCCATGTCCACTCCAGCCTTCACCGCCCCCCTCCCCGCCCCCGCCCCCGCCCCCAAGGTGATCAGCAGCAACCTGAGATTCTGGCTGTAACCAGAGCCTGCATGGGGATGTCTCCAGATCAGTTCAGCAGCACAGGAAACAGAGATCTTCTCCTCTCCAGGCTTTGATATAGCCCAGGAGAGAAGGAAGGAAAACTCAGCGCAGCAGTGAAGGAGGGAGGAAAGAGAGGGAAGCTAGCCTCCACTCATGATGACTATGGCAGGAGACTCTGGCTGCCCCCAAGCATTGCCTGGAGGGGCAGGAGCCACAACACGGGTCCTACCACCGCCTGGGTTCTACCCTTGCAACATCCAGAAGCCGGCAGAAGCTACCAACGCAGGAGTCAAGTCACCTGCTTTCCTGCTGTTTTAGCAATACACAGCCCCATTCCTTCCTCCTGTGTTTGATTTTAACACTTAACTGTTCCCTGAACTCTCCATTCCAAGGACATTCTTTAGCAAACCAGTTCCCAAGACCTCCTTGACGTTCACATTCTCTAGTTAGAAGACAACACTGTTCAGTTACAGACACCAACTCCTTCCCCATTTGGGGGCTGCACCAGATTCCTCTTAGTAGCACTCGAGTCTCCATAGTTTCGCTTATCCCAAGATGTTACTTCTGATCTAGGGCTTGTCCATCTCTCTTTATAGCACTGTAAAAACTGCCAGGGTACATGCAGTAATGAGCAAGCCCACAGCATAGTGGGGAAGACGGTGGCTGATGGCTCATGCCCCTGTAATAACCTCTGGGATGCTGGAGCAGGGCAGACAGCAACAGGGAGGCTGAGCTGTCTGGGTCAGTGAAGGCCTCCCCCGGGGGCAAGCTCCCATACTCTCCAGCTCTCTCTTTGGCTGTTTTCTTGCTGAACACCTGCAAGAATACCTAAGAAGGCCTTTCAAATTCCAGGTGCTTTTATAGTCTTCAGAAAGCCCCACCAGAGCTGCTAGGAAGACTGTCCCCACACGGCAACCAGGCATCCTGCTGGCTGGGAGGTCTGTCTCCTAGCACCTCAGCCCGTGCCCCATGCTCCCAAGCCCCATCACTGCACCTGCTCACCAGAGCCTTCTTATTGATTTTGCAGATGAGGCGGCTGAGGCTCAGAAAAATTCACAGATTGCCCATGAAGTGGCAGGGTAGAACTTGAGTCCACGTGCCGAATTCCAAGGCCAGCAGCCCACCTGCTCCAACAGAGCTGCTTAGGAAAGGCCTAGATAGGGCCTGGCAATCCCTTCCTATACACCACACACTCCTAGCGTGCTTCCCTCTTTGCTGCCACCATCTGCCAGCAGAGGGCACAGCAGACGATTTCTCCAGAAAACCTGTCTGGGCCCTGGCCGTCCTAAGCCCTCAGGCTCACCCATACCCTATCCTGCCCTGCAGCATCAGCCTTCCTCCACTCCAGCACAGAACTTCTCAGAGAAAGGGAGGTTCAGGGGCTGAGGCTCACCTCCCCTCCACTGACAAGGACCCACAGCATAGTCTGCTCCCCAGTTTGCTCCAGCCAGAGCCTGCCTCATCTGAGCACATGCAGGTTCTGCTCTTGTTGGGCTTTTGTGGCTCCATCCCCCACAGCATTCTGGGTATCCTGCATATTTCCCCTTCCAGCCTCGCTGTGCGAGAAATGTCCTAAGACCCCCTGTTCCTGTTCTTAAGTTCTGACCACCACCTGGGGAGCAGGCAGGGCTCAGGTTGATAGGATGTTCCTTTGTCTTGAGGCCTCCTCCTCACCTGGGAACCAGAGCTGGTGGAAGTCCTCAGAAAGCAGTAGAGGGCATGGCCAGTGTCAGGGAGCTAGAGTAGGAGCCCCACTCTGCCTGGTGACAAGGCCTATGCCCTTGATACTTGCCACCCTGCCCCCAAGGCAGAGCCACTGTGCACGCATTTACCATTGCTCTTGGGCAAACCTCTCCGTGGTCCTTGTGCCCGTCACATGATGATAATAAGACCCCCTTCTTTGCAAGATTACTCTGAAAATTAACCAAGAACCCTCATCACGTGCAAGCCCCGTTCCGGACACTAGGGAAACAGCCATCCAGGAGACAGACCCAGGGCCTCAGACTGCAAGCCTAACCCCTCTGCAGGTAGCCAGGATAAGGCAGTCATGACAACATAAGGGATTATGCACCTCTCAGAAGCCAGGCAGGGGGGATCTGCTCTCTTCTTACCCTCCTTCCCTCTCCACAGGGCCCACGGACCTCAGTATGAAAGGCGGGGCCTCCACCACTCCCACCCCTCCAACGCCCACCCCCTCCAGCAACAGCACCAGCAGGACCATGTCCACTGCCCAGCTCAGCCCCACAGAGATCAGTGCTGTGCGGCAGCTCATCGCTGGCTACAGAGAGTCTGCGGCCTTCCTGCTGCGCTCTGCCGATGAACTGGAAAACCTCATTTTACAGCAGAACTGACCCCACTGGCCCCCAGAGTGCACTATGCCAGGGAAGGAGGCTATCCCAGCCTGGACCTGGCTTCCTGCCTCACCAGTTGGTACACTATTTTCTGAAAGAGGTGGGATCCAAATGAGCTGTTTCTAGCCACACTCCAAGCACCTGAAACTTTGGGCACAAGGACACTTTCTTTTTGGAATCTCACCACACAGGTGCTCTGACCTGCTTGGAAGAGGCCAATGAGGCAGCTCTGGAAGGGTTGGGGTTCCCCTGACAAAGTGCTGGGGCCTGCAGCTCTATTTAGAATCACCTTTGTGGACCCTGATGTTAGAATCCCACCCCCAGATAATTACCTTCAAGTCTTAGGTGAGCAGAATTGCATATTTATTGAGAAAAACAAAGTGGACCCTTTCTTCCCCTCCCTTTAGTAATTTATTTTTCTGAAAATGGATTCTTTTGTGTTTGTACAGATTGCCAGTCTGTGTCTGTCTGATCAGAAGGATGTATCCCTGTACCTAACATTCCATATCACTACACTGACGCGGGCTGGAGGCTGGCAGGGGCAGGGCAGGTGCCAGGCTAGCTGTGCCTCTAAGTGCCCAGCACACCCTGGGGAAGTCCACCACAACCCCTCCATCAGGCTGTCCTGTTGCAGATCCCAGTGCCGCCACAGGGACGTTGCCAGGCACTGCCAAGCAGGAGAACCTTGCCCACAACCACTGCAAAGCAAAACAAAAGGCACCCACCCATTCTACAGAGCCCCCGTTACACGGTCACCTGTATTCTACCTCACACTCCAGCGTGGGCTTTTCCAGGATGTGCCCTGAGCCTGTTCTGAATGGCTGTCTCCCCAACTCCCACACAGTGTGTGTGCCTGGGAGGTAAGTCAGACCAGGTATCCAGGAGCCCAGAAAGGGTCTGCCCCTCACAACCAGCAGCTTGCAGTCGCCTGGCTCTCTCGGCTGCCTGACAGGACAGAGTGCCACCTGCCAAGAAGGGCTGCTGCTTCAGGGTGTTCTCCTGGCTGTCAGACAGCATCTGTCCCCTCACCCCATGGCTGGAGTAAAGAGATGGTCAGTGGAAGTGGAGAAACCACTTGGGTTCTCCTTAGGACCAGCCTTTCTTCTGGAGGGTCCAGTCCTGGAGAAACCCAGAGTCCCTGGAGTGTGAAAAAGAGCAGAAAGAAAAGGCTGGCCTGGTTCCCTCCTCCCTGTTAGGCACTTCCTCTTGCTCAGTGCAATACCTACCAGTGCTGCTAAAACCAGGGATTTACCCAGACCTCAGCAGGCCCATGGGGCCTCTCCACACAACACTCCGTAGCCATGACAGCAGCAATCTGCTGCCTGCCCCTGCCCAGAACTGGCAGAAGCCCTGTTGCCTTGCCTTCCTCAAAGCAAAGAGGCCCCAGGGGAGCCAGGAATGAGTGGACCCTAGGATGGCCACGGAGAGTCACTTGATCCCAGGACAGGCGCCCCTTCCTGAACCAGCTTTTATGCAGCGACTGCCTATGGTAGCTGTGGCTGCTCCCTGTTAGAACTGTGGCAGACCAGACCACTCCTCAACAGGAGGGGAGGGCAGGCTGCACAGGTGTGGATGTCACACCCTGCTCAAACCCAGGGCTGCAAGGCAGGGCACCTCGCACGCACACTTTCACCCTGAGGCTGGGGTGGTCTCACGTGGCCTCCAACACCCACTCAGCCACACCACCTCTGCCTTCCATGTGCCCGGTCCCCAGGCCTCTGGTCAGGGCCAGGACACCTGAGCCCCCCTCAGCACAGCACAAGCTCCAGTGCCCAAGGCCTCCCCTACAGCCGGCCATCCACATGCCCAGTCCCTACCTGCTCAGTACAGCTCCCCAACTATGTTTGAATTTGTGTAAATATTTTTGTGTGTGAACAATACTACAAAGTAATCAATAGATATTTTGCAAAATATTACCCTGGGCAATTTGTGAAAATCTTAATGTTAAAAACTGGCAGAGACAATCGCCGCCCCAGAATTCCTGGTTTCAGTTGCTTAACGTGTCATGTCATTTCCCCTCCCAGAGGCGGTGCCCAAGCTAGACACAAATGGTCTGCATTTCTTGGCAAACAGGAGAGAGACTGGGAAGGGGCTCCTCCCTTCACCCCACAGGATGTCTGTAAGGATCAGCATTAAGCTACAGCTTGCAGTCACCTTTCCTGAGAGCAAGCTGTTGTGACTAACCACCGTCAGCCCACTTCTGGCTGCGGTGTAAGCATAGTAGGTTCCATGTGTTTTAAAGAAAAAGGGAACAAATGCCAGTGGTGATGGTCCCCTGGGACCCCGGGGGGCCTCCAGGACAGTGGACTCTTATCATGCTGACCTCTTAGGTGGATTCCTTCCCAGAGAGTCAGGCTGGACCTGAAGCACCAGAGATGGCTAGGTCAAGAGCAAGTAACTGTGGAAACAGGATTCCATTAACCAGTCCAGTCAGGGAACTTGTTCTGTTTTGCTTTTGTATTAAAAGATGCAACTACCAAGCCCTTCCCTCTACACCTGACTTGGAGAGCACCACGACTGGTTCTGAGGGACCCAGCTTGCTGCCATCCCACCCTCAGTAAGGGGCTGCCTTCCCCCAAAGGGAGCCCCAAAGCCCTGACCCACAGCCACTTACATTTTGTGGAGGTCTCAGGGCACAAAGTAGTCATTAGTGGACCCAAGTTAAAAAGCAAACACAAGAGTACGATACACCAATCCCCAGAGTCTTTGCAGGGGCTGATCCCATGAGCAGGGTAGAAGTAGGCACTTGGTCTCATTGGTGGCTCATATAATAGACCAGTGACAGTTCTGTGAGACCCATCTGAAATCATTTTCTCATCACTACTCAACAGTTTATTCCCAAGATGGTGTTGGGGGAGGAGAGCAGGCAGGGCTAGGCAGGTCTTAGAGGATTTGGATAAGTGTGACCCATCCGTCCCTCGCTATTCTCAAGGGCCGCGTACGACTCCAGGGGTGGTTATAGGACTAACTACCCGTTCATTTTCAAAATGCTGCTTTGAACTCAGAGGGTTGATACTTTTAATTTGTAATTTTTTGTAAAACTTTTTACAAGATAGTAAAGTATTTCACCAGAATACCAGTTTCAATCCGCCCGTGGTCTGATTTTTATATAATTTAGTGGTGCTTTAGAAACTTTGTTTTGTTGTTTCTGAGCTCAACAGCTCTATCTTTTCTCGCCTGTATCTACCTAAGACCAATGTGAACCTTTGTATTTTGCTCCTAATTTTGGACTCAGTGGAAGTGTACTGTTTACATGTACAGACGCCCCATCCCTGTGTGTTCTGCAAGACTCGCTCTTGAGGAGGAAGATGCACCTCACTAAGCTCATCTGCTTAGCAAAGCCACAAAACAAAACCTCTCACTTTCTACTTGTTTCCACCTAAAAACAGAAACAAATGTACACCACACGCAGATTTGCTGACAAACTCCACCTGGTAGACGCCCATGTGCCTCTATCACGTGTCCTTAGGAGAGGAGTCAGGGTAGCACCTCTTGTGGCAAGTGGTTAACGCACAGACAGAGCCGTGAAGGCAGGACATGGTTGCTGGGCTCTGAGAGGAACACAGTTATCCAGGTCAGCTTGGCTACAGGAAGGTCAGGATGACTTACGAGGCCTCCAGGAGCAAGCCAACCAGGATTTAGGGACAACCCACAAGGCTGCCAATCCTCTAGCAGAATTTAGACATGTTTCAGAAGAATACAAGTTCTGTGTCAGAGGCTCTGACTTTCAGTGCAGATGGTACAGGCACCTCTTCAGGGCTCCATCAGGAGCCACCAGCTCTGGGGTGGGGCTGGGGAGTCCAGACAGTAAGCATATGGCACTTACAGAAAGCACTGGATGGCACCAACTTTCAAGGTGACTGTTTTTCAATGGCTTCGCCTCTAAATTATATTTTTACAGATATGCACCTATGCAACTTAACGTGGCTCTTCTAAGCAGGTGAGGACTTCCTCCTCATTGCTCTCTATAAAGTATTTGTGTTCTGTATAGTGAGTTTTTCCAGTAAATGTGGCTTAATATTTTAATTCTTAGAATGTGTCTTCTACGTGATGCGACTAAATTCTGTTTTGTTTGTGGAATGACTAGCACAGGCCGATTCCCTCTCTCCCTCACTTTAACAGAAGACCAATGAGCTGTTAATCGAGCTGTTATCTCCATGGTATTACTGCTAAATGCACTGATTTCATAAGTCTGTGGAATCCTTTTCCTTTTGAATCTGTATATCATATATAAGACTGAATCTACGTAATAAACACTGAACAAACAGAATGCTGCACTTCCACTGTGTTCTTCTATCAATAGTAGCACTACCAGCCTCCTTCTCAGTCAAGTTTGGCACTGAAACATCTTTCTATTGGTGGATCTCACCTTTTCCTAGCCAAATAATCTGACATATGGAAGTCCTCAGTAGGTTTTCATGAACAAATAACACCTGTAACTCCATTTTGCCACCTAACCTGTTAGGAAAGCCAAGAAACCTTTTCAGTGCCCATCAGATGCTCAGTATGGGTGGCAAGCACCATATTTAACTCTTAATCACCCTATCCCCACTTAAGAGACAAAACAGCAGAGGCACCCTAGGCATTCTGCCTTGCCTAAATTCAGCTAGTGGCCAAGCAGTGACCCTTTCCCCACCTGTCATGTTAGTGTATAGCCAACTAACCAAATCCAAATTCCTGTAGCAATCCCTAAGAGCTAGTTTGGAAACTGAGCAAGCAGTTCTCAACCTTCAGTATGTGAAGAACCCCGCAAAACCCCAAATCCAACCTTAAAGGAAACAAAAGGGCCACTTTCCCAAAAGCTTATTTGTGCACAGATTTTCTTTTCATCCTACGTGTATCATTAAGGTTACACTTTTAGGAAAAATTACAGGAATGTAATTGGGAACAAATTTGTGCAAGTTAAAAGCATAAATTTTACTGCTCTAATTATTATGTATTATGCACACACCTATATTAGCAGTTACTAAAAACCTTTTTATAATGGTACAATAATCACTTTTTGAAAACAAAATCTGTATGCAGTAGTCAAATGTACACATCAAAGGTGATCACAGGAGGATTGAAAGTTGGAAATCTTTCACTCATTCTGTACTTGGAGCTGTACTACACAGATAGGAGCAAGTGTAGGCACAGCACAAGGAGTGTCCACACCTCACCCTTCCCATGGAAGGGGAGCCAAGGGGCAGCAAATCCACAGTGATGCCAAGAAAATTCCCTGTCTGCTGAAACTGTCACTGCTGAGACTAAGGAAGTGGGAAAGCCCCCCAACCTGGGACATCTCCAGGAGAGGTACAGACCCTGCTGGCCTCACGGCCAGCCAAAAACACTTACCTTCACGGCAATGTGGCTGCTCCTTGAAGCACTGGGATCTCAGGGAAAAATGGCTTGAGGACAGAAAAGTGCTGGCTTGTCCCAGTCTGGCTTAAGTGGAGCTCCAGACCACTGCTGTTAACAGTGGACACAGGACAGTATCTTAGAGTACCGGCATAAATTCATTCAATGACAAAACTTTACTAAGTTTTCCTCAATGAGAAGAACATGCACGCGCTGTGTTTTTAAGTCACTCCAAACGCACTCGGGAAATGGTAGTTACAGGAAATCTAAAAAAGAAATCCTTGAAAAGTTTCTTCTCTCCTTGATCAATCTCTTCTATAAACCCACATTTTATTAGGCTTATCAGCTAGAGGTGTTACATGAAGGACTCCGCTGCCTCAGGAGTTGGTACATCCTCTGAAGACAGTATGCAACACTTTGTGCACTCCCAGGGAGTGTCCTCCAAAAGTGAAGCCCCACACAGAGACAAAACAGCACAGCCAAAAACACTGTGCTAATTGCCAGCCTCTATCATCTTGCAGTGGAAATGCTCATTCCAGACTTTCAAACTGATGTGCAGACACAAAAGGAAGGAAGCACCGGTACTGTCAACTTCAGGTTTCAAGTAGCACTCTCCAAGGTCACAAATCCAACACTATCCATGTCTTCCAACAGTGCACATACAGCCTGGACACACCGATTCTTTGGTCCATTGAAGCCCCTGAAGGATGCAGGCTGCTCTACCCAGCACACACACTTGCTCACATACCCCTCTCAAGCAGGGTCCTACTTTCTCAAGAGCAGGCTGATGAGATAGTATTCTTTTCATATTCTGAAACAAATGTCTCTCATCCTCTCTTCCACAAGCCCCCCTTTCCAAGCACTTGGCTTTAATCTCAACACAGCATTCAACAGCTGTGGCACGAGAACAAAAACCAGGTGTCTCCTTACAACCTGCACCACCCAGGACAAGGCCTACATCTTAACAGCTCTCTCTGGCAAAGGAAAGTAGGTGACAGCAGCAGTTTGGATTTCATGAAGCTTTTACTGGCTTAGCCTGGCACAAGCTCATATCCTTGAGTATTTCCTAGGTGGCAGCACAACCTGATGAAACAGGCACTAGTATCCCTGTTCATATGGGACAGTGGCAGACAGATTTCTATGCCCAACCTCAAAGAGCTGCCACGTGGCCCAGCCTATACTCTGATGGTTAGGGTATGTAACTGATGGTTAGGGTATAGTCCACACCTTGGATTCTAATACATCTTAAGCTCCTGCAGACACAGGAGCTAGTGGGTGTAGTGACATTGGGGCAGAAGTAAACCACTACCACTGAACAGTTGCCTGGTCATCACAGAGCCACATACCAGGAATTCTCCAACAGCAGGATTATAAAATGGCAACCCTAACTGCCCCCGATGTTCTGCCCCACTGAGGGTTGGCCTAACTCGCAAGAGAAAAATTAATGGAACTATACTTAGGCTTCACTTGTATTATTTTTTTTTTTTACTTTCGGGCTTGTTTATACACTGAGAAATGTTTCTGATAAGCACTAAACCATGTAAGTCCTCCAGAGAAGTCTAAGGACTTTAAAAAGCAAATCCTGGCAGCCTGACCTCCAGATCACCAAACACTGGGAATCCACTGGGCAGCCTCAATCTTGAGAGAGGCAATTTGGCTGAGCAGCTACAGAGGGAGGCTGCTGTTCATAGTTTCCATTCACAGGGGAAAGCACTGGTCACCTACATTAGAATTCTGACCTCAATCCACACAGAAGTTTGCCAAGTCACAAATAGAGTCCAAAGACCAGTGATACTGCCAAGTCACTGCTTTTGGACTAACCTCACAAAGAAGCTCCAAATCTAAGAAGGTTGGCTCCAGGGTTGAGGGGAGGCAAGCTGGTATCTGCTCCTCCCAGTCCTTCCCACATCAGCAGGCAGCCACAGAAGATGACTGAGACCACAAATGCAGTTTGTACAGGTTTATTTTTCCAATACCACAAGAGACATACAAGAGCAGTGCTTTTCTCTGGGCAGCCCCATGGACAAGACCACTGTCAAACCTTTGAGAGGCCCCAAAGGTCCCAGAAGGAAGAGGAGGACTGCACATGCTTGGGCTCCTGCTCCTGGGTCTTTGGTAAACAGACTCTTGAGCTGACAACTTGGACTTGGCCAATACTGCATTTAAATCACATTATCACCAACTTCTCATTCATGCTTCAGATGACAAAAAAATGCTACCTCAGATTAAGTGGGGGAAAAAAAAAACCTTTCACATGAGAGAAAGCTTGCCCAAGGCATATAAATTTTACACTTCATACAGAAGCACTCACACAAGGAAGACAGGCCTAAATTAAACAAGGCAGGAAGCAAGATGAGAGATGATGAATACAGGGGCACCTGCTTGTTTAGTGTGCTGGAAAAGGCAGGCAGCAGACATGGCTTTGTTTCTTCCCACTCTACTGTCAAAAGTTAAGCCAAAAGGAGCCTGGTGGTCCCAGATATTGCTGTTGACAGGTGAGGATCCTGGAGCCAGATCCAGAAGGCCTGCCTAGGGGTCACCCAGAAAACTTACCCATGAGTTCAGAAGCACTTAACACTGGTGGTGGTGGTGATTTGCCACATATGGCAGCCAAGTGGCCATTAAAGAGGAGAACAGAAGTGAGGCGCAAGATGCATTTGCTCAGTGATGTGCAGGTGGGCCAACCATGGCTCTGTGGGTCATGATAGATCCCCTGGTGAAATGGGACAAGGCACCAGGCCAACCACAGGTCGCAAGTTAGTCACTTCCCTCTAAACATCAGGCAGCACAGCACTCAGTGGCTCTGACAATTGGTGTAGAGAAATAAATGACACCTCTTAAATGTAATGATGCTGAAGACGTAAAATAAGGAAGAGACATTCATGTTCTCTGTACAATACATCCATTTACAGAATTGGCCAGTACTGTGTACAACATATAAATACAGGATAAAACATTAGAGGTGCATAGAGCATACTTACAGAAGCCAAAAAGTTCACTTTATACATCCAAGAATAAAGAGTTAAAAATATAAAAATAAGAAACACACTGCTTGGAAATGTAAAATGATTTTCACATACACAGGTGCGTGGAGATGCCCAGTCCCCACAGAGTCTAACGGGACCGGGTGGGTGACAAACAGAATTACCTGCAAACGTCTGTACAGTTCACTCACCAGGTCTACAGAGGGCATTTTCTTAGGAGATTCCTATTCCCCGACCCCACAGTCCAAGCTATTCAAGCTTTCAAAAGGTCGCACTGAGACAGGAAGTCCCAAACTGGCTCCATCGACTGGCAAACGACTAAACTGTGACCCAGAAGTCAGCAGGTACTTGATCCCCCTGGTGGGCAATGCTGGGAGTTACTTTAACCCTGTGCAGCTTCTTCCCCAACCATCAACTCCCCACACAAAGTAGCAGAAGAAAAGGTTTCAGGCAGGGGCAGTGGAAGACTGACTTTCCTGCTCAGGTCAGGTGGTTGGGTTCCCTTGGTGAAGAACATAGCCTTCTTGTTTCAAGTCCATCTGGGTGTCAGGTAGATTCCCCTGCCACACCAAGCTGTAGGTATTCGAGAAGGTCAGACTGACTGGCTTTGCGCAGCCCCACAGGTTGCCCTCCAGAAAACCCCTCCAGCAAGACTGGAAGGGCTGACAGGAAACAAAAGGCTTTAGCACTATAAATTTTAGGGTGAGGCAAGAATGCTCTTGCCTAGAGAGAAAAAAGAGTCTGTTTATCAATGATATTCTGTATACAGATTTAAGGTCAATCATTATCAAAATACACACACTAAATATACAATTTTTCCAATGGCCATAATTTATTATCTCACCACAAGGCACAATACACAGAGCTTTGAGGGTCCAATACAGTCATCATGACAGAACGCACCACAGCCTTGGCACATGATCATGGCTTTCAGGCTGCATGCACACTGGAGTGAGATGCTTTCCACCGTGCTGCTGTCAGTGAACATCTGCAGGGAGAGTGATGCACTGTGGCTTGCACCGAAGTTTGCTTTGTGGCTCAGCTGCACCACACTGCCAGCAAGGCCTTTGGGAAAGGCCGGAGAGCTGGAGGAGTAATTAAAGCTGGTGGAACTCAGCTGGAGTTTAGAAAGTTTCCCATAAAAAGCTTGCTTGATGTTGAGTTGGGAGGGGATAGAAGAAGGCTCCAGAGGCTGACTGAGCCCCTTCCCTGGCTCCCGGGGTAATTTCCAGAAAGGCAGGTCCATGACAAAGGGCATCCCTTGCAGGTGACCCACTAGTTCCAGAGGACTGTGCACACTAGCTTTTCTGTTCTCTGCATTTGCCTTAAAAGAATCCCCCATGAAAACTTTGTCGCTCTTGATGTTGCCAGCAGGTGCTGGGGGTGGCTTTGGAACCCAATCTTCCCTTGTAGTATGCACTCCATCAGACACAGAATTTTTGCTTGGCCCCAACTTCCTACTGGGAAAAACTGGAGGGACCTCAGCAAGCAATGGCATCGGGTCTGCAGGCCTGGGGCACTGAAGGGTTGCAGCCATGTTCCTAGGGCCAAAGAGCTTCTTCCCTTGGCCTCCAGCATGGTTCTGATCACCCAGGGCCCCACCTGTCTGCTCTGCACCAAAGGAGACCACATTTGGAGATGAGGGTACATGTGGTACTCTCGAGGTAGTGAGATCTCCTGGACTTCTGTCTGAAGCAGCACTTGAATTACTACACTGAGTCTCAGCCTGGACTTCTTTTTGCTCTTCAGAAATAAAAGAGGAGAAATGTTTTTTGGAATCCATTTCTTCCAGATTCCCGGAGGTAGTCACTGGATCTATCACTAGTGAGTCTAAACTTGGGACCATCTTGGAAATCTGGGGCAATCCAGGAGCCCGTGTGGCCTCTGCACTGCCAAGACCAGGGCTGGCTTCACAGCTCTCAGGCAGTAGAGGCTCCTTTAATGCTCTTAAAGAACCAGGGCTGCTTCTGCCAACCAGGTGACCGCTTTCCCCAGGCTCATGCAAAGCTCCCATGCCTAGGGACCCACCCAGGCTCTGTTCTCTTGTAAGTGTCAGCTGTAGGGATTCTAGCTTGCTGCCCTTATGGGCTAGAGGGAGAACTTTCTCCAGCGGCAAGTTACCTTGCAGTAATTTCGTCACCAGTGGGCTAGTGGCCTCCACTGTGGACCCGGGCCTGGGTGGGCACACAAGTCTAGGCTGGTACTCAGTATGGGCCAACATGAGGGAGTCGGGGATCTTCTCAGAGACTGCACATACACGAGACACCCAGCTCTGAGAAGCAACCATTCCCTCTGTCCTTGTAACCAGACTCAGGTCACTGTTCACCTTGGACAGTGAGGTGGACTGGTTCCAATCACACTTCTCCTTGTTCACTGAGGCTCCCTTAGTCACTGTGGCTTCACCAGTGTCAGCCTCACTGCTGTCCTCAGTAAGGTGGCCTTCAAAGTCAGAGGCTGTGTCTGTGGACTCACTGTGAGGACTCAGTGCTTCAGAGTCTCCATTGATTTTCAGATTTTCAACATCCACATGCTTGCCATTGCTGCCAGTGTCCCCCTGTCCTCTATGAGGTGGCCTCATCCACAGCAAAGCACTGCTGTCAGGAGGAATCACATCTTCCTTGACTGCCAAACCCCCAGACACCATGGCAAGGAGGGAAGCAGCTCTCTTCCACTCTTCTCTGCCCTGGGGCTGCACAGATGGTACATTCTTTCTGGATTCTGGCTCAGGCTGTTTCACTACCTCATCATTTGACAGGATGGGCATCCAAGGAGCAGCACTGTCGGTCATGAGTGTCATAGTTTTCAAGGCTTCCTGTCTATTATCACTGTCCCTCATGGGTGTGCCTAAGTCACCAAGTCCTAATTCATCATCAAAAGGTCTATTCTGTAGGCAGTCAGTCAATGATGATTCAAGGGCGGAATCAGATGTCACATTTATAGGATCCTTCGTGGTGGGATTACTATCAAGAGCCTGGCCAGTTCCTTCTAATACATCTCCCACTACAGACTGTACACCACTCTCCAGGGAAGCACTGGCTCCTCGTTCCTCGATCCCCTCTTCCCAGGAAGTAGTGCCAGACTCACATTTAGTTCTACTATCTGGATGCAACTTAGGCTGCTCTGCTAACCTCTCAGCCACTGGGGTCTGGGAGGAGAGTGGGGGCAAAGCCTGACACGGCTGGTCCCCAGTGGGAGCAATGGGGGGCTGGGAAGCATCCTCCAGCTCACTTGTGAGTATACCTGCAACCTGCTGCGGTGGGCAGCTTTCCTCCTTTCTGAGAGCAGCCAGGTCCCCTCTCCTGGCTCTAGACATGGCAGTTGCAGCCTGTGTGTTCTCCCCACTCAGAGAACAAGGCGGCAGTAGTTGTGTTCGCTGTAGATCTGACGCACACTCTCCAGGGGTGTTTGAGGCTCCCCTGAGCTCAGAGTGGCCACAGGCCTCACCACCATCACCACTGTTGCTGCTTCTGCCACCTCCCTCATCGGTGGTCCCGCTGCCACCTCCACCCGGGCCACCCCCCCCTCCGATGGCAGTGGTGGCCGCCTCTCGATGGCAGTGGTGGCCTCTCGCCCCTCGGGCCTGCAAAGCACGGGCTTTAATGTCTGCGAGGGTCCTGGTACCAGTCCAGCCCCGGCAGGAGGACTCCGTGATGGGGATGATCCGGGGGCATATCTGGTAAGTGGGCTGACCTTTAACCACCCAGGGTGGTTTGATACGTGAAAGTTGAATCTGCAAGAAAAGCACAAGAAAAGTTTTAACTGGGTGAACCAATCTAGGAAATACAAAGTAAAACTGAAGCACTAGTAGTTTAGATGTCATAGCCTAGAAAATCAAGTAATTTTCCTGAAGAGTAGGCATGGTAAAATGGCACCCCACACCACCACTTCATTCTGAGATGATTCTGAAGGGCTGCTTATGCCACACTTCAAATTTAATTTCTGATGGGACTGTATGAGTCAATATAGCAAAGAATCTAACACCTCACACCGCCTAATAAAAGACTAAAAACCCCAAAGGATTTTGACCTTTAGAGAGAATTTTACAGAGTAAACAAAAAAGTAAAGGACAAAAAAAAACACCCTCACACCCCAAACTTAGTCAGTCTCAAGCTCTTTATGTGAGAAAATATCTTTCCCCATGTAATTCATGCCAGGGCTGGAGGGTCTCTAACCCTGCAAAGAGGGCTGTATTGTCTTATGACCCTCAAAGGAAATCTGGCACCAGGGCCACCAGGAATCAAATAGTCTCATACCCGGATGGGCGGGACTTTGGGCTCCTCTTTAGTGGGCTGTGGCTTTTCGGTGTGAACACTTTCAATTGTGTTACGAAAGGACTGACGATCTTCAAGCCGGGGTTTCTTTTCGGGAAAGGAAGCACAGGTCGCCTGCTCAAAGGATTTCCTCTTCTGATCCTTTGGCTCCTGATCCACAGTGTCCTGAGGCAAACTGGGAATTCTGTCTGGAGATGCAGAGGCACGTGCCAAGTTGTCTGGCTCACTCTGGATCCGGGAATCTACAGGTTCGCTGGGGCATTCAGGACCCTGTGGGCCGGGTGCTGCAGAGAACAGGCCTGGCCGGGGGGGACTGCTCACCCCTGCTGCATCCGGCTTAGCCTCCCCACCCTTGGAAAGCATGACATCTGGTACCACAGAGTTTGCATCCTTAGCAACTCCTGCTTGTTCTGGCTCCTGTTTTTTGTACAGATTTCTTCTGGCTCTGGTTCGGAGATCTGGCCTAGAGCGTTTCTTAAAATGTCCATCCCGCTGACGGGTGGCTGGGCCATGCTGTGGCCGTGCTGATTCTCCCAGGACACGTAAGCCACTCTTGATTTCAGCCTCCTCCTGGCCCATGTTCTGCTGCAATGACTCTTCTTTGGTCAAACCCAATCTGCAAACCAAACTCACAATCAGTTATAGACCAGAGAGGGCATGTCACTTTAATTTCTATGATAACATGCACTCAGATACATACATAGAACAAAAAAGATCTGCAAGGCGCAAATTCTAACCACAGAAAAACACATATGTGTACCACCATGCCCCAGTCCTGGTACTGGGGCTTGAACTCGAGGCTTCGCACTTGCTAGGAGCTCTACCACCTGAGACACTCAGCCAGCCCCCAACCTCCATGTTCTTGTCCCACATATAAGTATACCAAGCTGTTCCTTGGTATCCATGGGGATCAATTCTAGGAGCATCCTCAGATACCAAAATGCATGGATGCCCAACTCCCTTAGAGAATAAATGGCCTAATATTGGCATATAACCTACAAACATGCTCCCAGATAGTTTTGTTTTTTTTGTTTTGTGGTGCTGGGGACTAAATCCAGGCCTGGTACATACTTAAGAGCTCCACCACTGAGTTACATGCCCAGCCTTCCTCCCATACACTTTTTTTTGTGTGATGGGGTCTCATTATGTTGCTTAGGCTAGTCTTGAACTCCTGGGCTCAAGCAATCCTCCTGAATAGCTAGTACTCCTGCGTACTTTAAATCATCTCCAGATTACTTACAATACTTAGTACAATGTGAGTGCTTTGTAAATAGTTGTTATACTGTATTGTTTAGGAATGGCAAGGAGAAAAATCTGTACATACTCAGTACAGATGCAATGTTTCTCCTAAATACTTTTGATCCACAGTTGGTCAAACCCATGGCTACAGAGGGCTGGCTATTTTGAGAGCAACTGTCCCTATCCCCTCAAACACTCAAACTAGGACTCATAGCACCAAGTGCCTTACTTCTGTCCATAGTAGTCTTCAAAGAACTTTTCTTTCCATTGCTCCACCTTCTTTTCCTTCTCCATTTCCTGTCGTATTCTGACTTGCATCTCATGAGTGAATTCACCTAGACAGAAAGAAGACTTTTCTAGTAAATACATTCAGGATATTAATTTCTGTCATACAGACAGCTAAGTTATGTTCTTCTATTCTACTAGGATTTTTCTTTTCTGGGGAGGGGATGGGGGTGGAGGTGGTGATACTGGGGTTTGAATTCAGGGCTTTGTGCCTGCTAAGCAAGCGCCCAACCATTCAGCTGTATCTCTAGCCCTTTTTGCTTTAGTTACTTTTTCAGATAGGGTGTCACACTTTTTGCCCAGGCCAGTCTTGGACCTTGATCCCTGCCTCCACCTTCCATGTAGCTGGGATTATAGATACGAATCACCAAGCCTGGATTGTTTGTTGAGATGAAGTCTCACTACCTTTTTGCCCAGGCTGGCCTCAAACTCTGACTCTCCTGATCTTGGCCTCCCAAGTAGCTGGGATTAAGGTATGTGCCACTATGCCCATCCCCCACCAGAAGTTTTATAAGGACATACTCCTGTCTCTTCCAGTGACCCTCTCCCATTGTGCACTTACTCAGGATAGAGCTAACACATCTGCTACAAGAGAAACTTACTCTTCCTTAATCATTCAAGAACAAGCAATACCTTGATCAAAAAAGCCAAACCACAAACAAAAGAACTATTTTTACACCCTTCGGTAGGGAAAAAAAAGTTAACACAGCAGGCCTGATTGCTTATCAAAAAGCCTCCATTCAAGGAGGGCTCTTGGCTGACATGTGGTAACTTGGAGTTAAAGAGTTCCCACCACCTTAAACTGATAGGAATGGTGCACTGTGCCTTAGATGTCAACAATATGGTTCATGCTGAAAACACATGCTTTTCTTTTAGGAATCAATGCCTTATACTAATACCCCTTGAGAAAAAAAAGAGACTGATGAAAAATGAGTGCTTGGGTTTTAAATACTAGGATACATACAAGACCACATATAGCAGGCACATCTCAAACCATCTGAGGTAAAGTCTACTTACCATCAGCCAGGCGTTCCCGCCAGCTCTGAGCTGCATGGGTGAAAAATTCATTATTGAGTGCACTGCTGCTGAGGCGCAACAGGCCATCTGTCCCCACCTAGGAAGACCAAAGGAAAAAATATATAAATAAGGAAACTAAGGGGAAGGGAGGGGGACAGAGGGGAGAAATGACCCAAACAATGCACGCACATGTGAATAAATGATTAATTAAAAAATTAAATAAATAAATAAGGAAACTTGAGAGAGCAGGAGCCTGCCCAGACACAGGCCAAGAGGAACCATGCATTCGCACCTGTCTGTCCACCTCAGGCAGGAGGAAGAGGAGCTGCTGCTGGAATTGTGATGGCAGGGCATGGAAAGTCCTTGAGTTTATCAGGGCACGGAGGTTGGTGTTGACAAGAATGGACCCGGGTGTCTCAAAATCTATCTCTTCTCCTCTGTTGCGCTTCATTTGACCTATGATTTTTTTGGAAGCAAAAAGAAGGTGTAGATTTTTAGTTTCTCAATGCAAAAAGCAGTTAAGCAAATGCCCGCTGGTGGGAATCTGTGGTGGCAGTATGCAGGCTACCCAGAGCTTTGTCCTGCATACGATCTGCTCAGCAGTGCAGCCCATCCCAACCTGTATATTACTATTGTTCTTTCCAGGTCTCAGTCATTGCCATCAAACCTAAGAACACTTGGGATTGCATCCCTTGAACAACACCGTGTACCATGCTGTATGTATCACAGCCTGAAGAAGATACTCTTTCCATGGAAAATCAGGAAGGGGTGGGTTCTGAGCTTCCCTCCAAGGCTGCAGAACAGGCTCCATAAAGCCCAATTGGAGAAAGGATGGAAGTTGTCTAAAAGCAAATCTAGTTAGAGTACTACAGAAAACCTGCAGAAGCCCTTTGTGAATGAAGTATGATCTATAGGCAGAAATGTACTAACAAATATTCAAAGTCAACTGAAATGTCTCAGAAACCAAGCAAATATTATTTTTACTTGAAAAAAAACCCACTAGACTAGAGACCTATAAGACCTTAGATTGAGCACTGCTGATGAGTTAGAAAAGCAGCAAGACAGCAAACTGAGTTCCCACTTGGGGAATGGTTTATTGTAATTTTTAGAGTCTAAGGCTAATCTTCTTAATGGTTTCATGTGGCCCATGTACAAACATCCTAGTACGTGAGTCGTAAGAAACAACCTTAAAATATCAAACAGCATACTAATATTGCAAATGATGCTACTGAGAGCAGGAGAGGCACAATGTAGCAATACTGAATTTGTTTGCGTTCCCATAATTCAACATGTGCTTCCAGAGAAAAGAAAACAGATGTGGGAATCCTTCACTGAGAAGCTCTGAAGCAATTCTTACTCAAGTACTTCTGAAGCAACACCAAGGCAGGTATGGGCCAGGCCCTATAGGGTCAGACTAGGAACGATGTGGTATCATCTCTGCTCACAGGAGTTCACTCAATCTAGCAGAGGTCCACACTGAAATAATTAAAATACAAGGTAAAAACAAACAAAAAATACAGGGACACCCAAGAAGTGAAAAAAAAAAAAAAAAAAGACTGGCAAAGGAACTGGTATAAAAGACACTGTCTCCTCACTAGGCCTGCAGGAGCCCCCTTTATAGGCAGAGAAATGAGTGCCAAGCCACTCACCTGTGGCTGGCTTCCGGAAGCCTCTCAGGAGCGGGGCAGGGTCCCGGGCGACCTCGGCCTGGCCACGAATAGCAGCGCTGCCCAAGGCCAGAGAGCCGCTGCTGCTGCTGGATGGGCTGCCACTCTCGCCATCGGCATGGCGGCCTGAGAACCCTGAGGGCACAGCATTCCACTGGTCAAAAGTTATTACATGCCATACCCATGGCTCTCAGACAAGCTTACTTCTCCCAGCAATCCCTGACATGCTGCCAACAATACTGGGGTGCTTCCATATTCCAGCCCTGGGCTGGTAGACCTCACCGCCTTATGGTCTGGCTTTAAAATATCACCTTAAGAATGCCAAACCGATACCTTCATTTGTACAGCATTACACCTTTTACGAAGACTGGCACAACTCTCTATCAGATGCTTACAACCACTCTGGGAGGCAAAGACAAGGGCACATGACAGGGCCCAGCCCAAGGCCACAGCAGGCCTCACTTCCATAGGATACTGCCTTCCAGACAGGGTGGGTCTCCTGTTTCTGGCTCAATAGCTCTATTGATATCACATTGGTAGGTCAGAGGTTGCTGAAAGAGGGTGGCCAGGAACTCAGGACCTGAGGGAAAAGCACCATAGCCATAAGCCTACACATACCTGATGCAGATTCCACGTGGGCCCCGTTTACCTTCAGAGGAGTCAGGACAACTCGAGGCAGCATTACTCCAGTCTTTTTCTTTTGTTTGTTTGCCTGGGTTCGGGTAAAAAAAGAAAATCAGAGTCATCTGCAAGGCCATTAACAGCACTCCTTCTTGACCCTACCCTACCTACTTTCTTGTAAGAGTTCATGTGCAGACAGATCTGCCAGACAATGCTCACGAGATCCCTGGCCAACGTTACTGAGCTGTGTGCTGGTCATTGTGGCAAGTATCACCCTCGGCTGATAGGAATGCTTTGTTATCTCCATTCTACAGAAAAGGAATTTGCCCACAGCTAATTAAATGGCAAGGCCATCATTCAAACTGCTACTTCCCAAGCTTTTGTTCTCACCACTCTGCACTATACTATACTCCCTGGATGGACAGAATTACCCAGGAATGTAAAGAGAAAAATCAAATCACTTTGCTCACAGACCTAATGTTCAGTTTTCCTACAGCCCTCTTTTAAATGTTACTAAGAGGTAAAGACTATATTTGTTTACTCTTCAAACAAGTTCATAGCTAACTGCTGAAGGAATAAGAGTCCTGTCTTATGCCTGCCCTTATTCATTCTCCTGGCCTCATCAGCAATTCTCCTCCCTACCTGTGAGGAAGCTCGGTAGCTGTCCCTGGGATTGGAAACAGACCGACTCTGAGATTCTGTAGAACAAGATGCATTTGAAGATGTTTCATCAAGAGATACTGAAAAGCAGGAAAACAAAAGTTTAGTCCCTGGAGACTGCCTGGGGCTCTTCCCCCACCTAGCTAGGGCACTTACCGTCATTTTCACCACTCACAGTGCTGGCTTCATTAGACCCACAACTCTCCACATCAGCTGAGTCCTCTGGCTCTTCTCCATCTACTGCAGCCGGATTTCGAGACCATTGCAGGGCATCCTTCTGTGACAGCAAGTTACAATTCAGGTGAACAAAAACCCTACAAATCCTTCAAGTACAATAGGCATTCCTAAATTTATATGCTTTTGGAGAACATGGATTTAGGTTGTGTTTATTGTTTTGAAGTGCTGCTCTACCACTGACCTATACCTACACCCTCAACTCGAGTTAAATTACCATACTCACATCCTTTTCAAACTGAGCTTTTTCTAATCAAGTTTTTCCATAAATATATCATTAAGAAAGCTATTATTGTTATATTTTTGTTTTGAGACAGTCTCACTATGTAGCCCAGGCTGGCCTTGAACTTTCAATCCTCCTGCCTTACCCTCGCCACAAGTGTTCCAATTACAGGTATGCACTACCACACTCAGATTTGTATTTTTGCATTCAATCCTACATTAAACAGTTATAAGGCTTCTCTTACAAGCTATACCATACTAATTCCTGGGAAGAGAAGTAAGGAGTGGGCATCAGGGCACTATCCTCAAGGTTCTCACCTGAGCACGGGAAAAAGAAGACGGACTACAATACAAAGGGCAGAGACAGAGAGCTGTGGCCCAAGAGAGGGGGAACCAAATTCACTGAGTTAAGAGAAAAGGGGATATGGGGGTACAGACCGTAAGGATCAGGGAGGCAAAGTTTCCAAGGAGATGTGATACTTATACTGAATTTAAAAGAAGTTAGCTATTATGGACATGGGATGGCCATGGGGAGACGTTAGGAAATTCTAAGTGGTGGGAAAAGCAAATGTGAATATGCCCTACTGAAAGTCAATTTATATATATCTATATATCTATATATATCTATATATATATAGATATATATAGGAAGTAGTGTGACTGAATATGGGGAACTGGAGAGAGAAGAGTTAAAATAAGGTAGAGGAGATAAATGTCAATTTTGAAAAAAAAATGTGAAGAGCACCTGGTAAAACATGATTATAGCGCTTTAAAAATACCACAAATTACTGTGGAAACCCACAATAATCTAACGCCAATTTCATGGGTCCCTTGATCCATACTACACATTTAGCTTTCATCGACTTATTTTCATTAATTTTAAGCTAAAATCATGCTGTCTTAAATGACTTAGAAAGAAAATGGTTTTTGATCTTTATCTTTTCTACTAGCCATAAATACAACTCAGAATGAAATCCGAATATTCTTAGTATTAATCTTACAATTATGCTTATTGATTGCTATGTTTTTTGAAATGAAACAAATTTAATCCCTGATTCTTATGGGCAAACTAAGGTAAGATATTTATTAGTGAATAGAGGAGATCTATCACATTGCAAACTTAACCCCGCAAAACTCCAGTTCCGGCAAGAGAAAAAAATCATATAAACACTGCTGGCAAAAGTGAAAATGGCATCACGAAGTTTATACACTGACAATGGGAGAGTGAACTCTAACCAAAACTCTGAGAAAGCATACAGCTAAGCATTCCTTATCCAAGATATTTGGGACCATGAATGTGTTGGGTTTTGGAGTAAACTCCAGTTCCGGCAAGAGAAAAAAATCATATAAACACTGCTGGCAAAAGTGAAAATGGCATCACGAAGTTTATACACTGACAATGGGAGAGTGAACTCTTACCAAAACTCTGAGAAAGCATACAGCTAAGCATTCCTTATCCAAGATATTTGGGACCATGAATGTGTTGGGTTTTGGAGTTTTTTTCAGTTCTTAGAATATCTGTATATACATAATGAAATGTTTAGGATTTGGACCCAATTCTAAAAAGGAAATTCATTTATGTTTCCAGTTACAACTTATAGTACAAAGGTAATCCAGACAGTATTTTCAGTGCAAATGTGTTTCTGATTGTCCCATCTCTTGAGGTCAGGTATGGAATTTTCCAGGTATCATCATATTAACATTCAAAAAGTCTGAGATTTGTGAGCATTTTGGATTTTTGGATTAGGAATGCTAAACATTTGTCATTATGTTTTACTGTATTATATTTCTACAATGGGCTCCAGTGATCACACCTATAATCTGAGCTACTTGGGAGGCTGAGATTGGGAGGACTACAGTTCGTAGCCAGCGTGGGCAAACAGTTCAAGAGACCCCATCTCCAAATAACAGAGTCAACTGGAGGTGTGACTCAGGTGGTAGACCACCTGCTTTGCAAGTGTAAAGATCCTTGAGTTCAAACCCCAGTCTATCTCTCTCTGCTCTTCTCTCTCACACACACACATGAAGTCTGAAAACAAAACAAAAGATAATTCAAATATTTCCATTAAGGAAATACTTTGTAAGTACACAGATAGCCATTTGAAATAAAGGTGCAGAATATTTAATGACAGTAGAAATACAGATGATACTGCCAGTGATTCAAGCAGCTGAATTCATACTGTATAATTTGATCTTTTTGGTTTTATTTCTTTGAGACAGTGGTCTCACTTTGTAGCCCAGGCTGGCCTCAAACTCATGATCTTCTTGCCCTGACCTCTCAAGTGTAAGGTTTTCTTTCAAGTATGTCATACCACACCCAGCTCCATCTTTTTTTTTAAACTGAAAATTTTTTGTGTTTGGGAATTTTTGTATTTTAAGCAGGACTGTTGTTTGAACTCAAGAGCTTCACACTTGTAAAGCAGGAGCTCTTGAGCCACACCTGCAGTCCTTAAGGTAAAATTTGCATCAATGTATTTGTACAAAGGTTAAGACAATGTTAGTTATCACTGTCTCTAAGTGATGGAGTTGTGTTTCACTTTCTTTCCAATTTTGACAATTACTTTTTTTTTTTGTATGATCAAGAAAATAACATTTAGCTGGATGTGATAGTGCATACCTACTATCTCAACTACTCAGGAGGCTGAGGCAGGAGGACTGCAAACTTGAGGCTGCCTGGGCAACAGAATGAGAAAGTAAGAGGGGAATGGGGGAGGTGTGGACAGATACCACAAAGAGAAAAAGATGAGAAAAGGAGAGAGGGAAAAAAGAGAGGAATGGGGGAGTAAGAGGGGTACACAGAAAGAAAGAAGGAGAAAGAAAAGAGAGGAGGGAAGGAAAAAAAGAGAGGGAGGGAGAGAAGGAGAGACGCAGAGAGAGAAACGTTTGAAAAGAAAAATTTAGGGTGCTGAATGAATTATCAACAGCTAAGCCAAAATAGTCTTTCTCTAGGTCCTAGAATGTAGGAGAACCTAGTGCTGATTACCGATTTCTTTAATTAAACAAACAAAAATGCAGCTTGTTTGCGATTTGAACAATTATTTAGCTTCTAAAGACATACATTTTTAGTAAAACGCAAACAGGAGAACAAGATGTTTAAGGAAATGAAAGCAAGATTTGAGATTCTAATTCTGGATTTTTAAACAATCATTCATCTTTCCATTCAGACTCTAGTAGAAGTTTGGTATCATTAATTTTCCATAAACTCTGTAAGCTTGTCAAAAAAAAAAAAAAGGGACTATTGAAAATTATAGGTGCCAGAAAAAGATGCCCTAAAACTCAACACTTTATTTTTTAGACTGACACTCTGAATTCTCCTGCCTCAGCCTCCTGAAGTCCCAGGCTCAAGATTTTAACTTTTTTCTTGCAAATATATTTTTCAACATGAAGTTTAAAAAAATTTACAAATAGGTGGTATCTCACTAAATTATTAATAAGAAAAGTGCTATAAAACATTCTTGCTATCATTTTTCCTCCAGATTTATTGTGGTATATTTGTCAAAAATTGAACATATTCAAGGAAGCAACAGACAATTTGATATAAGTACATATTGTGAAATAACTACCACAAACTGAATTAACACATCCATCAATCAGGGAGGGAGGGAGAGAGAGAGAGAGAGAGGGAGAGAGAGAGAGAGAGAGAGAGAGAGGGAGAGAGAGAGAGAGACAGAGAAAGAGAGAATATGAATGTGTGTAAACTACCTACTGGATGGTAATGTCACATTAAAGTCAAATTTCCCGAGTGCAATAACTAATTGTGCTGCGTAAGAGAATACCCTTAGGTAAGTGTTTACCCATCAGATCCTTACCCCATTTTAGAAAAACTGTGTAATTTACATACAGTGAAATGCACACTGTTTGACAGGTTTGGACCAATGTATAAATGTACATTTCTAAAACCCCCAAAAGTTTCCTGTGCCCCTTCTTAGTCAATCACCACTCTACATTGCCCACCCCATTAACAGTTCTGGTTTTCTAGCCTAGTAGTGCTTTTGCCTGTTGTCAGTCTTCAAGTAAATGAAATCATACAATACATGCTGTTCTATATCTAGCTTCATTCAATCCCCCAGCTGATGATAGTCATGTTTATGATATTCATCCAGCCTGTGTCAGTAGTTTGTTATCACATTTAACACATAACACATACAACCACTTGTTTGTCTGTTGATGGAGACTGATTTTGGAAATTACAAATAAAACTATTATGAACATTCTTGTATGTGACTTTTTATAGACATGTTTTCATTTCCCTTGGGTAAATATCAGGAGCAAAATTCAAGGTCGTAAGACAGATGAAAGTCAACTTTCTAAAAACCTCAGACATCCAAAAATTTACACTTCAACAGTACTTGCTGTATGAGAGTTCCAGTTGCTCCACATCTTCACCAGTATTTGGTGCTGTCAGTCTTATTTTAGCCATTTTGAGTGCAATAGTACTTCATTATGGTTTTAATTTTCATCTGTCCATAAACTAAAGATGTAGAGCATCTCCTTCTTAATGGTGCTGGGAAACAGAACCCAAGGCCTCATGCTAGGCAAGTTCTCTACCACTGAGCTACACTCCAGCACTGTTGAGCACTTTTTTTTATGTGTTGATTGGTCATACTCCTATCTACCTTTTGAAATATCTGTTCAAGTCTTTTGCCCACTGTTTAAATGAGTTGGTTTTTTGTTTGTTTTGTTGGCAGTACTGGGGTCTGAACTGAGGGACTCACGCTTGCCAGGCAGGAGCTCTACTGCCCGAGCCATGCCCACAGACCTTTTTGCTTTAGCTATTTTTCAGAGAGGGTCTCGTGTTTTTGCCTGGGCCTGCCTGAACTACCATCCTCTTATTATGCCTTCTGGGCAGCTGGGATGACAGGTGCTCACCACCACATCCAGTCTTTTTGTTGAGATGGGGTCTTACTAATTTTTTGCCCAAACTAGACTCAAACTTGATCCTCCCAATCTTTACCTCCTGAGTAGCTGGGATTATAGCTGTGAGCTTTGTCTGGAAAGCTGTTTAATATAAATTATTAAAAACTAAGAACATACTGACATTTCAACAGTATATTAGAATTCTTAACCAATATTTTAAAATAAAATAAAAAGGCAGGTACCCAGTGTCTCATGTCTATAATCCTAGCTACTCAGGAGGCAGGGATCAGGAGGATGGCAGTTTGAAGCCAGCCCAGGCAATACTTCTCGAGACCCTGTCTGGAAAATACTCAACACAAAAAAGGGCTGACGGTGGCTCAAGTAGTAGAGCAACCTCCCTTGCAAGTGCAAAGCCCTGAGGTCAAACTCCAGTATGGCAAAAAATATGTGTGTGTGTCTGTGTATTTAAAAAGTAAAAGAAACAAGATTAGAAAAGAGATGAGTGTCGTAATTCTTAGACTAGTACAACTTATCTACACTGAAGAGCCAAGAGATTCAGATCTATTAAGAGAATTCAGTCAGAATGAGATTCAAGATCAAATTTAGAAATCAAGCAATTCTAACACCAACAATATTATTACCAATTAATAAGTGTAATTTAGGGGGATGGAGGGAGCGATCTAACCAATGTACAATGTAAGGCTATTCGGAATGATCACAACAAATTCCCCAAGTATAATGAACATAAAAATGGAAAAAGAAGAAATGCAATTTATACCAGCACTGAAGATAAATTACCCAGGGATAAATTCTGCAAATGAAATAAATCATTTGGACTAGGGGGTGTGGCTCAAGTGGGGTAGATGACTGCCTAGCACGTGTCAGACACCGAGTTCAAACCCTAGTACTGCCAAAAAAGTAAAGAAGAAAAAGAAGCAAAATTTAAAACAATCATTTTATGAAGAAAACATAAAACTTTGAGAAAGGTTTAAAACCTAAATAAATGCAGAGCTACATCATGCTCTTGTTTGTTATTTTGGGGGCACTGGGGTTTGAACTCGGCCTTGTGCTTGCTCAGCAGGTGCTCTACCACTTGAGCACACCACCAGCCCTTACACCATGTTCTTGATTAAGAAATTTCAACATTGAAAAGATGCCAATTCTGCCCAAAGTTACTTGTAGATTGGAATTGTAGTACAATTCCAGTGAAAATCTTGACACAAATTTTTGTAGAACTTGATTCTTGATAGAAAAGGGCCAAAAATAGCCAAGAAATTCTTGAAAAACAGGATGAGAAGACATCCTTTTTTTTTTTTTTTCTTTATAAAGCTTTAGTAATTAAATGAGTAGATGAGTGGTTGCTAGGGGCTGGAAGGAGGAGGGGAAAAAGATAAGTCTGCTAAAAGGTATGGGGTTTCTTTTTGTGGTGATGAAAATGTTCTACAATTAGATCATGGTGATAGTTACCTAACTTTATGAATACACTAAAAGGCACTGAAATGGACATTTTAAAGCTAAGATGTTTCATTAATGATGTCTTAATTTTATTATGCAAAACCTACAGAATTAAAACCAGTAAAGCAACCTCTAATTGTACTTGAGAAAAGGCTTTTTAAAAATACATGATGTAAAAAAAGTTCTATTGAATTTGAAATCCATTTGCATTCTCTCACAAGGCATTTTAACATTACAGCTGCCAAGAAAAGAAAAGAGCTGTGATTTTAAAAGTAAACACACTCTTGGAATATAGCTTAAAGAGAAGGGAGGGGGAGGGAGAGAACGATGGAGGGAGTAAATTCAACTAAGATATATTGTAACACATATGTAAATATCACAATGTAGCCCCCTGTACAACTATTATATTAAGAAAAAAAATAAAGAGAAGAAATTGTGCGAGTTCTCATTAATGATAAGAAAGGAGTTTCCATAAACTAGAAATAAAACAAATTCTCTTCTGTGATTTGCTACCCACATCCAGAAGCAAAGTTTCTAGTTAATGGTGACCAAGGCCCATTACCCATCATCTAAAACTCTGGGTCTTGGTGTGTTTTAAAATTCACAATTTCTTGAATTTTAGAATGATGACATAGTACATATATATTAACACCACCAGCAACTCACAATCAAAGAGAATCTTTTTTAAGAAATGTATGCACATACCCGTGAAATAAACAGGCTAAAATAGCTTTGTCAATCTAGGTCAGTTTTACTATCAAATGAGTTCAGATAGATCAGCCTTTACTGCCAAATAAACTGTGGGGGGAAAAAAAACAGGTCAGTTCTTAAAATAGTTTGGATTTCAGAATTGTTATGAACAGATTATAAACCTACTTCATGAATCTGAAGGGATTATCATTTTAAAAAATAGGAGGAGGACCCAGTGTGGTAGCTCATGCCTATAGCTCCAATTACTTAGGAGGTGGAGACTGGGAGGATTGCTATTTGCGGTCAGCCCTCCCTCTGGGGGAGGGGTTTATACTGAGACAAATTCTCAACCAATAAAGCTGGGGATGGTGGTGCATGCCTATAATCCCAGCCATGCGAGGAGTGTCTAGGGCAGCAAAGGCAAAAATGGGAGACCATATTTGAAAAAATAACTGAAGCAAAAAGAGCTGGAAGCATAGCTCCAGCTATGGTACAGCCTGCCAGCAAGTACAAGGCCTGAGCCAACCCCAGTATGCCTCCTCAATTCCAAACATTAGAAGGAATTGCACAGACACTTCAAGCGTGGAAAATTAATGAAAATTTTCTCATCAAACCCCACAGAGAGAAGACCCGTAAGGCACTTCCATTTTACCCAAGCCTGCCACAGTATGAAAAGGTAAGGAAGCGTTTCACTTGAGGAATTTCCACATATATACACATGAAGACTACAAGTAAAAAAAGATGAGTAATGTAAAAAGCAGTGTTTGTAATAGGGAAAAATCAGAAAAATATTACTAATTTACACTGAAAAACTGAGGTACACTGACATGATATGAACAATAGTTAAAAAATACATTTATACAGACAAACAGACCACGTATTTTCCATGTGCACATATGAATAGGAAGATACAAATTAAAGACAGTGGTAGCTACTGGGAAGGAGCAAAGACCACAGTATTAGGTGGCAGGTGGGGGGAGGGGGGTTGCTGCAGAAGTCAAGGGCATTCCCCACTTTCTCTGCACAAAGGCTTGAGCTACATAAGCTCCATGTTTAGACAGGGCATGTGAACACGTTTCTTCACATTTTTCTGGAGCTTCATTAAAATCGTTATCTGAGAATAATAAAGTTATAAATGCACAAAGACAAAGAGAAAGGGGGAGAAAAAGACAACAAAGGATGTGAAGATCCTAGATGGTTAGCTGGAAGATAGGTGACTGACTCAGCAAGGGAAAGAATGGCTGAAGTCTAAAGCTGCAGAGGAAAAGCCACTAAAAGCAAGCCAGTGAGAACTGCAAAAACCCAGAATGAGACAGGGATCGAGAGGTACCAAAAACCACAGCAGGCAGACGTGAGGCATGGGGCTGCAAACAAGAGAAATGGCTTCAGGTATGAACAAAGAGACTCGATCCCTTCCCCAACTTGACCCCCCAAAATGTTAGCCCTATGGAGCCTAACCTCAACCTACTCTCAGCTGACTGGCAAGAGATAAGAAAGAGGATTCCTCCTCCTGAAAAAACTGAGGTGACTAGTAGAGAATATCTTCAGGTTCAGATAACTGGGGGATTTCCCCAAAGCATCTGGGTCTCCACTCCCTAACTCAGCAACACACAGTGCCAATAGCACAGACTCTGTCACATTTCCCACTATGAAGGACTTGTCAAGGAATGATAGATATTTGAGCACAATGAAAATAAACAAATTGAAAGGAAAGAGATGTCACAATAAATGTCCTCAGTTCCAAAAGAAGTATGCTATTTAATAAATAAATAAAAGGAGCATAAGCAAACAGATGCAATTTGCTGGGAACTA